TCCTTAAACAAATTGGTATTGAAAACCTTAACGGAGTCTAGGCTGGTAAGTATACACATACATATGTAATAATAATAATAGATTGGCGCTTACACATATTTTAGTGTTTGGCCGAGCTTCTCCTCCGACTTATGGCGAACGCCTTGCTGATGTCAGACAAAGCGGAGAGACCTACAGTTTTACGCCGACTCCGAACGGCGATTGTATGTTTATGTGAAGCCGTTTTTCATGGCAGAAATACATTCGAAGGTTTGCCATTGTGTCGAGGGGCCACCGCTGTTAAAGCCTTTTTCTAAATTTTTTTTTCCGATGTTGCTTTAACCTGGACTTGAACTCAGACACTACGGAAAGGAAGCGCGCACTGCTTACCACTAGACCACAGCGGCCACCGATAATAATGACTGAAAATTAAAAACAAGTGTTATGTGAACAAAGTTATATCTACCCTTGCGCACAATGGGTATAAATATAAGGGAACCACGCAGAGTAATGGCTTGTGCAGATATTACCCGTGGTCTGCACATATTAGGGCATTAAATCCCGAAGCATTTTAACAATCCCGGGATTTCGGGATGCAAAAATTCTAATCCCGGGATCACGAGATCTTTCGGGATTTCGACTTCATCACCACTGTTTGCATTTTACAGTAGGTTCACCTTTGTCAAACCACACAGATTCATTGTCACCACACTTGGTCTTAGAGGAGGCATTATGCTTAGTAAAAAAGTACATCATTTGATGTTGAAATATTTTGTATAGTATTCTTGACGGCAAAAAAAAGGCGCGTAAAAAAAAATTTGCGAAAAAAAGATGCTCATGAAAAACTTCAACGAAGTATGTTAAGAGTCTTTGACGCCGAAATTTTTTTATGCGTCTTTTTTCACCGTCAACTTTTGAGCTCGCGCCTTTATTCGTGTCTAGTGACGATCTGTATTACTTGTCAATGACATTTACTTATATTTGCAGAAATCCCTTTCCAAAAAACGCCAACAAAATAAAATGAACAACAACGCTGCCACACCTTAGAAGCTTGTGTTTTCAATTGCTACCAGATTTTTCATTATTACACAGTTCTTGCATAGTGAAATAATATACAAAATATTATTTCACTATGCAGTTCTTGCACAAAATGTTTAACAAGTACAGTGTTCAGGCAGGTCTTGAAATTCACTTCCAAGTGCAAATGGCTCAAGTTCACTTTGACTTCATATTTTGGTGTTCTGTATTTCTCGTGTTTCATGNTATGCAGTTCTTGCACAAAATGTTTAACAAGTACAGTGTTCAGGCAGGTCCTGAAATTCACTTCCAAGTGCAAATGGCTCAAGTTCATTTTGACTTCATATTTTGGTGTTCTGTATTTCTCGTGTTTCATGTCAAATGAATTCATTTTTTCCTATTCAACATCTCTTTAATCCTGTAAATGGATCCCGGGATTTCGAGGCATGGAAAAATGTTCGGGATTGAATTCCCTAGTACATGTGTATGGAGTAACGGGAAAGTACACACGAAACGAGGTACTATTCGAGGTGAGCGCTCAAAGTTGCCGTACAATTGGAGTAATCTGGAGTTTTACGCCGCTTCCGAACGGTAGATAAATTTTCCATGGCCGAAATACACTCGGAGAGTTGGATGCCCGCTACAGGACCATTGATATTAGAAAAAAAAATTTGATTGGATGTTTCAGGGAGCGAACCTGGATCCTTTAGTGAGTATCTATTTGTAACTACACGTAAAATGTATTTCCTCTTCTTACCAGAATCTTCCATACTTGAAGCATAAGGAGTAATATTCAGTTTTTTGCTACTGTCTGCTTTATAATCTTTATACATAACTACGCCCTCCATTCCATACATCCAAAAATTTAATGGGAATTTAGAATCCAAGACAAACTAAATATGTACATCGAAAAGAATTTTTAATCAGGATAAACTAGACCGTTATATACATATGTAGATTGATAGGAATATTAGTCTGTACATATATAAATTTAACACAAGTTCGCATTGAGATATGTACATAAGTGCATGCAAACATACATATAATTACCAATGTACATACACATGTGAATATTTAAATATTCATTAAAAAATTGCATGTGCCGGCAATTGGAGAAAGTTTGTTGAATACATATTTCATCTGTCATATGAAAAACTAACAACACCCCAATTAGCAAATCTTTAAAGGCAGTAAGCTTCCTGGATTTTTAGCCGTAACACGTTGGACGTCCTACAACTGCATTATTGATTTTTCTGTGCATTGCGTTGTAACGCCCCTTCTGCCTGAGGAGCAATACTGAATTTTGAAGCATTTCGGAAGATGATGTGGGACCCCCATACACAAACTGCATTAAAGTGGCCGTATACACACGTAGGCAAAGTTCACGTCTACACAAAATATATATGTATGTACGTATGTTTTCCACTCGTAGCTCCAATCCTAGCCGGTAGAATTTCATTATTTATACCAATAAATTTAGCCACGTTTATTTAACTGATACACTTTTTGAATATTGTTAATATTTTTTATCTGCAATACACTAACACCATTAGCATACATTGGCACGAAAACACAGCCAATTTTTTCTTTTCAAGACGGCTCGCCTGTCGACGCTACAAGAGTACACTTTTCTGGAGCAGCATAATTTTTAGTGCTTTTAAAAAAGCTTTAAACATAGTTTTCACAATTTAAACAAATTTTCATGATTAAATTAAAACTTGTACATACGAAAATACCAAAAATAGCACATATTCGACATATTTTATGGACATATTTAATAAATTAGAAAATTTTCACAACCCAATACGTACCCACGACACAGCACAACGACGCCATATTGCATTCGCTTTATTTCGTCAAGAGGATGCCATATTCTTCAACTAAAAAAAATATACAGAAAACTGGCAACTTGCATCATTTTGAGGTATTGCAGAAATAAATTTCTATTACAGCGCAACTACACGATCGATAACTCGTTTTCAAGTCAGTTGATCACACAAACTTCTTGTCAATTTTCGATTCAATTAACAGTTGTGACGTAGGTTTCCCGCAACATGATAGTCAGGGTATATTCCAAAACTTCAAAATACAAAGCATCAGTCTCTTTTATCTCTAAATCACACTAGAAGAAAAAGTCTAACTTGCGCAACCTAGTACAAAACTAGCATCTAACCGTGGTTACTCACATTTGAAATTAAAATCTTTTGAGCTCTGTCACACAAATGTTTTTATTTTGTACCTATAGTTTACAGATAATGCATTCCGCAATTATTTTAAAATTTCCAATGTTAATTAAAATTTGTTCAATTTGTTTTGAATGATTTTAAGATCCATCAAAACTGCACGCTACACCGTCAATAAATACCGACCGTGTGACAGTGCCCATTGAGATTTACAAATCCAAGAGACTGATGCTTTGTATTTTGACGTTTTGAAATGCACCCTATATTTGCGCTTCAAGATGGCGTGGTCAAAGAAACAACTTAAAATTCTTGTTTATAATGGCCCGTAGTCATAGTCAAAATAAAGTCGACTTTAAAGTTAGTTGCAGCTTTTTGACATAATTTTCAATGGGATATCTGTCAAAAAAGCTGCAACTAACTTTAAAGTCGACTTTATTTTGATTATGACTACGGGCCAATGTCTTTAGTATATTTTCATGACTTAGAAAATAGAAAATTTTGACGGATCAAAGTAAAAATTTGACACTTCTCGTGGTGAATACGAACGTCAAAATTTTGACAGCTTATAACCATGTATACACATAATATTGCTTGGCGGTAATAAGGAGTGAACATAAAAATGAAAGCTGAAACAGCATAAAAAAAGCTTACGCTACTTGCGAATTATAAAATAAATATAAATTTTAAGAATTTCAGCAACACACAAAAATAGAGCTTTCGCACGAGCGTTTGTTTGGTTTTTCAACTGTCAAAATTTTACTTTGCATTTGGCACAGCAAAATTCAATTTATTTGTACACCATAGCAAATTTTTCCACCCCGTCTCACCACGGAGAAAAAAGTTACCGATTGGCACAGGCCCTCAGTAGGAGAGAGTCACAAAAAGTGTGGTGAAAACAACCACAGACAGTCAACCACAGTATATCGATGGCTGAGTGGAAGATCGACCTATCTCGGCTGCCAGTTCGAAAACGCTCTATCTCAGAAAAATTTTCAAGAACGCCCTATTTCAGAATTTTATTGAAAAACACCCTATCTCAAAATTCGGTTCAAAAACGCCCTATCTCACTTCAAAATGTATTGAAAATATGCTGATATAGGGCGTTTTTGAATCGGCAGCTGAGATAGGGCGTTTTTGAAACGAATTCTGAAATAGGGCGTTCTTGAAAAGTTTTTTGAGATAGAATGTTTTCGAACTGGCTGCCGAGATAGGTCGATCTTCCACTCAGCCATCGATATACAGTAATAAACCTTTTCGCAGTTTTTCACCAATTGGTCCCCGAGGAGTACTTTTGGATTGTGTGCAGCGTTCTCGTTTTGTGCGCACGGCAACACTAACTGTGGGGAATTTCGCCTCATGATTAGAAAAAGTTCTTTTCAAGGATAAAATGTATGTAATTAAGGGTATTCATCAAACCTTATAAATGCATTGTAAACCGGTGGACGGGCCTTAACAGCTACGCGAACGCAACAATTATTGTACTAGTACCACATGAACGAAAGACACAAGATCACGTAAGAACAAGAGAGTGAACAAAGTCGATTTGTTTTAGCGGGTTCTACGCCATCTTGTTTCACTGAAAAACCAGCGAAAAGTAAACAAAGCAAAGAAAACAACGACCAAAATTAGCCAAAATTATTGTCAGCCACTTTAAACGCACAATTTAGGTAAAATTATGCAACAAAATGCTTTAAAAGAGAATTAATTGGATTGAAACGTTTTAAGCCGTTTTTTGCTAACATTCTTCACAAGGCCGCGGTCACACTGCCTATAAACTATCACACAATTTGCCCCCTTCCAGAGGGTAAACTTTCAATTGTAGCAACACTCAGTGCTGTCATTAGCGCTGCCAATTATCGCCGCCTTATTTCACCACCTAAAATCGAGGAAAAGTAAAAAATTGTTGTTTCAGTAAAACTTTATTATAAAGTTTAATAAAAATACTATATTGAGATAGAAAAAGTGCATTAAAATTCATTGTGCTCAACACTATTCGCGGGAGAACGTTGATAAAAGTCGCATAATTTGCAACTCATTTCTCCCAAGAATAAAATAATACCAGAGCGAGTAGGTTGAATAACCAAAAACGAAAAAAATACATAAACGACGAAATATTTGAAAATAGGTTTTTAAAACGATTATTAAAATAATAGAAAAGATTGTGTAATAACATTCATTTGAAATGGCGCATAAGCTGATGCAATCAGCGAAGGCTATGGAGCGTTGCCTTCGGCGAAGCTATATTACCACTAACCTGAATGTGGTAGCTTCAGGACGCAATGTTGTTGGAACGCCTGCGTTTATAGAAATACCAGTAATACAATATCTTGTGGAACAGATTCAGTACTTTTGCAAAAAACCACCAAAAGGATTTGAAAAGTATTTTGAAGAAGGAAAGGCAGCGGACAAGAAATCTGAGACTGATGCATCTAAAAACAAACCTACCACAAGTAAAGATAGCAGTAGTACTACTTCAACCAACAAAAGTGATTGGAGCTTTGGTATGTTTACTAACAGCTCAAAGGGGTCAGAAGGAAATCGAGGACCCGGTGGTGGAGGCGGTAGGCCACTTGGAGAGGGTAGCGGCGGGGATCGCGAAAAATGGATAATATTTGGTGCAGTCAGTGCGGTTGCATTGGTTGCATCGATCGCATTTTTTGAAATGGGATACAAGGAGATCTCATGGAAGGAATTCGTCAATAAGTTCGTATGATTTTGTGGTACTTGCTGTATCTTAATAACTTTTGGTTTCCAGCTACCTCAATAAGGGCTTAGTCGAAAAGCTGGAGGTGGTCAATAAAAAGTGGGTGCGAGTTCGTCTGCTGCCGGGGAATTCACAAAACTCTAGTGGTGTGCTTTGGTTCAACATCGGCAGTGTAGATTCTTTCGAGCGTAATTTAGAAAATGCTCAAACGGATCTCGGCATTGAAGCCTTAAATTACGTGCCTGTTATATATCGCACTGAAGTTGAGGCGTCAGCTTTAACGGGACTGCTGCCAACACTGTTAATAATAGGATTTTTAGTTTATATGATGCGTAGATCAGCTGATATGATGGGCGGTGGGCGTGGACGAAAGGGCGGCGGTTTATTTGGAGGTGTTATGCAATCGACAGCAAAACTCATCAATTCCAATGAGATTGGTGTCCGATTCAAGTGAGCTCTGTAAACAAAAGTTAAGCAATTATTTTTAATTGAATTTTTTT